GAAAATTCCAGGCGTCAAAACGGGAAGAGCTTTTGAATGTGTATAATAATTCTCAAAGGGGATTCTGGAAGCAAATAGGTAAATTGGGTATACATAATGAACGTAAAAGTATTATTCCTACAGAGGTCATAGATACGGATGGTAATTTGATTACAGAAGCAACTGAAGTTTTATCAGTATGGCGTGATATATATAGTGATCTGTACAATGTCCCAGTTGATATTAACTCTTTGGGTCCACCGTCAAATGTGGATAGCAATGATCTTAATTTTCCCATTACAAGGAAAGAGGTTGAAGATGCTGTCTTTCGAGCAAAACTTAATAAAGCAGCAGGTATAGATGCTATAAAGAGCTCGGTTTTACGTAACCCAGCGTACATAGACCTTTTGATATCTTAACATTTTATTTTGTTAACGGTCGTCCCAGATAGTTAGCTTGTGACCAGAAATATGAACGGTATAGGTTCGAATTCACTTTTTTCATCTTTCTTTTTTACTATTTAGGCAAGTGATCATTTTCCTTAATAAAGTGAAAAATAGTTTTCAAATCAATGGAACATTTTATTGATATTTTAATAACATACCTATTGATTTATCTTCTATGGGATCATGTCAACAAATCCCTGTACGCATGTACAGTACAGCTACGCCTTGTTTTATGAATTGTTTTACCGTCCAATTGGCATTGGTATTTTTATTAAATATCTAAACACAAACAAATGATGCCGAAATACAAAATGATACGGGATTGTTGCGTCGGAAAAAAAAAAGGCAAAGCAAAAAAAAAAAGTGTTATTATCGCAAAATATTACCGAACATGCGGGAAATTCATCGTCGAGGACAGTCTCATTTATTTTAAATGCAGGAAGACTGCAGCACAATGTTAGGATCGCAATACACGTGCAAGACATGCTATTTGAAAACTACGTAATTTTACCATTCCAAGGTACGGGAAAAACAAAATAAAGATGCGTGTTTTTTAAGAAAACATGTAACGGCATAACGTAGGCAATAGCAATGGGAATTAAATCCTTTCAAACTTTGTAATGATTGTACGATCTTGTGTTTTATATAGCATAACGCGAAATATGCATTTTGTTGAGTCTTTATCGTGAAACACATGTATTGATAACCATGATCTTGAATTCGTCTGTTTACAATCATCTATTCTTAAATACGGGATTCTGATAGTGCTACCTGTATAGAAATACCTGAGGACGCGTAATAACAGTGCACGGTTGGACGCGCGCACTAGAGGGTCATAGATTTGGGGGAATAGACATAGCAACCCGCCATACCTCTTTACATTTTACTGTACAAGAACTGTGTAAATCTGCAAGTAGAGCATTGTATGCTCTTTATTCCAAGTATGTACATGCTGGAGAAATGTGTTATGAAGTTCACTGTAAGCTGCATGTATCCCTAGTGGAACCAGTGCTATTTTTTAGTACTGGAATCTGGGGTCTGAATAAATATAGAGAAGTGGCTATGGTTCAAAATAAACTATGCAGGTATTTTCTGGGTGCTGCTTGAAAAGCAAGTAATGTAGCCCTTCGAGGAGATTTAGGTTGGAATTCATGTGAAGTTAATCGATTAACTGAAGTTTTTAGACTATATTTACGTATAAAGAATTGCGATGATAGCAGACTACTGCAGACAACTCATAAATGGTCATGTTCTTTTAGAAAAGCCTGGGACTCTCGTGTAGTTAGTCTGATAGCGGAGAAAAATTTAAGTGAAATTTTAACCGCAAATACATCAACGTACAAATGTATGAAGGATATTAAGAATGTCCTGAGTTTTGAAGATGATGATAAGTGGCAGTTGTCTCTGTGGGATGACACAAACAATGTAAATGGCAATAAACTGTGTACATATAGAACTTACAAGTATGAGCCTGTCACTAGCGACTATGTAAAATCTGTACATCTCAAATGAAAAAGATTTTTTTTATTTAACTTTAGATGTGGCTCTTTGCCCCTTGAAATTGAAAAAGGTAGGCATGCCCGACCTGTGATTCCTGTCAATAATAGGTTATGTAAATTGTGCAACAATGATGTAGAAAACGAGTATAATTTTTTAATGGAATGTATATTTTATGATGATCAAACAATGTATATGGATTTTTCAATGATATGAACTGAACAGTTCAGATATGTGATGTGTGAACCAGTTCTCCAAAAGACACTAGCTACCCAACTTTCTCTTATGTGGAAGAGAAGAACTACGTTTCTCCCATATTAAAGTATGTATTACAATTATATGTGCAGGTATGGGGTGGAGGATATATAATTTGTCGGTAGGGATAGGCCCAACCACTCTTGTATATCTCTTACCCTGTTGGGGTACATGGTATTATATATATATGTGGAAATTATAGTCCTGCTACAAATAAACTTTTATCAAGCATAATTGTTTTTACAAAGACTGGTTAATAACATTACATGTCTGAAGATAGTTTTAAAAGTAAATAGTGTGATTGTTCTTTTAACGTGTCTAATAAGACATTTTGGCTGGACACATTTTATATTCAAAGGTATATATGTATTGTGATTTTATGAATACTATGTGTTTGACCCGAAAATAAAATATTTAAACTTGAATTTGAACTTGAACCTATGTATCAATTGACAGGAAAAATTGCTTTCACACAAGGTGTTCAAGGTAAGGTACAGCCTATCAGAATTCCATGTGACTACAGGTGAATGGTCAGTGGGTGGTCATTGCCTATATATTCTCAGGTAGATATCATATCTAAATCGTCTGTTTGATAACCGAACTACTCGGTAGTGAAGCGGATGTAAAACCAACCAATCAATCATATCTAAATCAGCATGTACATATACCTGACGTGTATACATCTATAACAAAGAAATCAAAATCAGACTAACTCATAGTTTTTTCTTAATTTTCATTTAAGACGTTTGACAACTTGAGATTAACAAACTTAAATTAATCCACATCTTAAAGCTTGATCGAGCTGTACCTTTTATCTGTATAGTGCTATGCCATGATATAAGATTTTTCTGGAATTTTTAGCTTTTCTTGACTTGTTTGTATAAAACAAAGAAGCGAATTACTCTATTGATGTCGTGTTATAGAGAAACCTTTCATAAAAAGTAGAAGCTTATAGGAAAACTTTCCACGCCATTTACTCATATCGCATAACAGATACTTATCCCCCATACTGACACTACAATATTGATATGAAATGTGATGTGAATTTAAATATGGTAAAGTGTACTTTTAAACTGTTTTCCTCTGAGATAGAACAGCTATCTATAGATTTTCTATACTTATAAGAGATAGTGTACAATTTATCTTTGTACATGTATATATTCGGCTGAAATTTTATGTAATAAAAGAAAACAAAAAGTGTATCATTATTATGAGTTGAATGATTCTTCCCTTTCTCTTTCCATTTTCATATCACAAAGGAACCCATTTCATTATAACCCATTATTGAAATATGTACTTAAAAGTCTTTTAAACTTTGGTAAACACTGTAGTGCACTGTAGTTAACATCGTAGTGCACTGGAGTTAACACTGAAGTGAACTGGAGTGCACTTCAATGTTTTGTCAAGTGCACTTCCTTGTTCAACAAGTTTACACTACGAAGTGCACTAGATACCAAGTTAAATTTGCTCCCAACTGTATGTATGTATGCATTCTCGATTTACACATGCATATATGTTCTGATGACTCCCCTTGTAATAATGATGTGTAGTAATGAAACAGTTTAGAGATCAAAAGAAACCCATACTGAAGTATCCATTTTGATTTGCATTATTGCATAAACTACATGTATTGATTTGCGTTATGTTTATGCATGCACGTAGGAATGTGTGTATGTTAACAATATTTTCATGTGTCATGAATGTATGTATCATGAGTAAACGTAAGTGTGTTCAGTATGCATGTGTGTGTGTGTTTGTACATTTGTATATGTATGTATGCTATGTATGTATGATTGCATGTATGTATGTATGCTTGCATACATGCATGCATATACGTACGTATGCTATGTATGTGTGTGTGTGTGTGTGTGTGTGTGTATTACTATGTAAAATGTAAATGTATGTTTCTGTCTGGAAAAAAATCCTGCTTGTATTATTAATTAAATATTTAAGAAATAAATTATTAAGTTTTGAATGGATAGAATAGAAAGAACCATTTTCCGTTTAACATACATCTATTAGAAACTGCTTTTACATAAGCCAAAGAACTAGCCATATGTGTACTATGCACACACACACACACACACAATGACCTATTTGACCTTTTGCTGTTTGAGCTGTATTTTCTTTAGTCCTGTATACTCCATGATAAAACAGCATGATGCGGTTTGAAAACGACTGCACTGCATTTGACTATGCAATTCATCTATGTGCACTTGAAAAGCTTACGGTGTATTTGAGACTTTAGAAAATAATTGACCTTATAATCATATATGTGATCCAACGTTTTTATTTTAGAAAATTGTTGTTGCAGCTTTTTTTTATCAGAAAACGTCAATTTGCAGTCTGTCTCTACTCTTTGACCTAAATATGTTACTTTATTAATCATATCGGTGTAAAAATTATAAAGTTTTATCTGGCTAATAAAAAAGTGTTGCTGAAATGAAATAAAAATAGATCAAATCGTTCTTTCTAAGAAATTGCGTAATCATTTCTTTTCGGTATAGTGTTTACCGTGTACTATCTATTAGCATTACTGTCGGCCATTTTGCTGTATTACCTGTGTACAATGTTTTTACGTTTAGTTATTAAACCGATGGATTTAAGGGTATTATAAATGCTAAAAAAATATTGTTATTTTTAAAAGATCGCTAAACATTTTTTCTTATTTTTTTAAATAAAACACTAAAGAATTGGTTCCTAACGTGAAATGGATGGAAGGAAGCAGGAAGTAACTGCTGCTGGTGGGTGTGTCCGTCACATTTTGGTATTGGATTAAACATCATTTTTTTTATCAAAGTGAGTTTAGGTACATGTACTTACTTCATTTTGTGAATTATTTAATCCTCAGTTGGTTGAGTCCTTTTAAAATAACGGTTGTTCTGTCAGTATAATGTCAGCAAAAAACAGCCGTGATTCATGTCTTATCGTGAGAGATAAGCTTTGGTTATGTAACATGCTTGCTACTGTTATAGCATAAGGTGTTTTTTACAATGCGTATGAATACACAGTAATGCTAATAGATAGCAAAACCGAGTAACGCCAATAAGGTCCCTTCAGGTAGGGCGTAAGAATTGTGCCTGTTGCCCCCATTGCACGATCGTAAGAGGCGACTAAATTTAGGATCTTATCTTTTCTCTTCTTTCTAAACAACTTTCTTCTTCCTAATGTCTCCCTTGACAATGCCTCACTTTTGGCCTTTAGTTGAGCGTTCGCCCCTGTGAGGAAGGCTTTGGGTTCTTTCCATTGGCCGAGACATACCAGAGTCTATAAAAATGGTAGTTTCTACTCCTGCTTAACACTCAGCAATTTAGGAGTGGGACGACTGGTTCGCCCGTTGTCAGTATAATGTGACCGGGTGGGGCGTCCTGCTGGGTGTGTTCGGCAGTATGTTTCAGTGAGGTAGCACTATAAAGCCGGCATCAGTTCCGCGCTATCACAAGGAGACAAACACGAACATATCGCAGCCACCCAAAACCCACACGCATATACTACAAGCATGTATCTTGCACACAAGGGAGGCCGTCCTTAAATGACTATAGATGTTGATAGGACGTTAAACAATACTAAACCAAACCAAGAGGAATAAAAAGTTATTTACGTTAATTTGTTATTTCAAGTAAACGCTTCAATTAACTTTAATCTGTGGGCACTATTAAAATAACATAATTAACATATGACATTTAGAAAAAAAGCCTTTTTGAACACGGCTAGGTAAAATGCAAGGTCGTAATGAAGTTCTGAGTGACATCATACATTTCTTGTACAACAAAATTAGTTTAGAAAACCACAAAAGGGCGATAACATTGTCATGGCAATAGTTCAGACATATATACACCTACATATTGATAATCTATAAAATACATTATATATGATTCGTGTATGGATATTTTTCACTCCCATTAAAACAACAAATTGAGGTTAAACTCTCGGAAGAGTCTCGTATTAATACTTCTAATTACTATTATAGAACCCTCCGTCTCTTGAATACTTACTTTATACCGGGAATGTTTGCTACAGTTTAATTCGGGGTTTTTTCACCCTCCCTAATGAAGGCGAATTTATCATGAGAGCGACTCTTTAGTAAACAGCATAATATATATAGTAATTAAATGTGAAGGGCGAAATTAACACTAGGCGAAAATTGAATTCATGGGAGAAAGGAGAAAAATTGACTGGGCGAAAATGTCCCGGTCAAAAGTATTCTATTCCTACTTAATATGATAATCAATAATGAAACTAACATCTTTGGTCGTACATTGGTGCACCATTGAGATTGAGAAGTTCTCCTCCAAACTGGTTGATATAAATTTACATTAAAATAAAAACGACAAGCTCTTACAAAACTAATTTTTAATATGCGTCTGACGCTGTAAAAGGAGCATTTTTTGGTGAGATAAAAAAAATCTACATTTAAAGACGATAGTTCCATACACATCCGAGCACATGTCAGTGTAGGACATTTGTTTTGCGCGAGGAAAATATATGAGCCTTTAATTTCTGTGCCCGGAGGAGTAGGAAACCTTAATGTTTATATTTTTTTATATATTGCCAATATTAATCATAAAAGTTGGAGGATTCCTGACCAATCGCAGGCAAAAACACTGAGAATTAAGGATCCGTGTCCCGCTGCAGTGCATTTTTCGTATATACAGTAACCTCCCCTCAGATCCTTTTTGTATCTTTCTGTAGTAAAAGTAGCAGGCTTCGATTTCCGATTGAGCTTCGCAGATTTTGTTACACAAAGAACATTGTTGTTTATAATATTTTGTTAATTATATATTTATTACTTTTTCTTAAAAGTCCCGCAAGGTATCGTTTAATTTATAGAAATCATTTTTCGGAGCTGAAATCATTCCGGGGAAAAACTGATTGCACAGAAACTGTATCAAGTATTCACATTCAATTAATCTCTAAAATAAGATATGATATATTTCATAAACAATTCGTTTGCTATTGATACATTTTGAAATCTTTTACACATTTTAACCTTTTGTCTATTTTTTGCGTTGTTGTTTGGCCCTAAACGACGCAAATTGTCAGTAAAACGCCTTCTAGTAGACTCCACATGTTATTATCAACATGATATTCAGATTAATAACCACACATCCGCGCTGTTCCTGTTGAAAAATTCAAAAGTGCTAAATTGATAATTACATAAATAGCATGCGGTTTTGTTTTTTTGACTAAATGAATGATATTTAACATGTTGTGTTTGCGTTCGCCTTTTCATGTAAATTGATGCGTGACTTTATAGCGCGATGATGTTTCAAACTGGGTAACGTGTTTATCAATGAGGTGAAAAAGGTAAATTCGACCCAATTTTCTATTCAATTGTAGTTGTTAAAAAAAACTTAAAGCCTTCGCAAATAGCCCAATAATATGTAGACATACAGTAAGGTCCAATGATACTGAAACAACTTAGATATTATAAGGACGTGCCCCTGATTGTGTTGTGTATGCATGTATGTGTGTCGGGGTCAGGGTATGTTCGTGTGTTTGCCTCTTCGTGATAGCGCGTATCTGATGCCGACTTTATAGTGCTATCTCACTTAAATACCATGCCGAATGCACCCAGCACAGCATTCTGGCCGGTCACATTATACTGACAACGGGTGAACCAGCTTTTGCCATTACCCTAAATGCTGAACGTGAAACAGCGAATAACAACTTCAATTTTCAAGGACGTTGGTCTTTACCATGAATGTCATAACTTAATTCAAAATATATTTACTTGTACAAATGTAAATATCTATTATTCAAGGAATATACACGTAAGTATGTCTGTAGAGTAAAAACTGGCTGGTACGTACCTCTGCGCTAATCCTTTTCAGGTAACTCCCAGTAATAAACAGTTTCTCAGTACGTTAGCAGACTTTCCCAGTTTGGATGTGTTGTTTCGTCCACGCGATACACGAGTGGGTAGAAGCACATATTTGACAATTAAGTACGGCTATGCAGAAGGCTAAACAAAGTAATCATTTCCACTGCCATTTCGACCATTAAGGACTCCCGAGTGGTGGTACCAAGGGTAAAAGCGATCGGATAGCCATGTCTACAATGTTCAACAATATATGTAGACAATAGCAAACGTAGATACATTCAAGCACGCTCGTACATCCCAGCAACATATCAATAGGCAGTGGCGGATCCAGAGACCTATCTGGGGGGGTTCCCTGTTGGAAAAAAATGAGGAAAATGGTGAAAATATATGATTTTAAAGAAAATTCTTAGGGTGGGGGGTGGGGGGGTTCCTGAAGCCCAAAAAACCCCTCTGGATCCGCCACTGATAGGTCTTTATCATGTTTGTCATATCACTTTGATAAAGAGATACAAACACAAACATACAATAGATATAGGTACATGTATTCTGTTAAAATCTACTTCTAAGCCTAGTCCGTTTAACGAGGCTTAGCGCAAATTTCAGAATGTGAATTTTGAGATATATGTTAAAAAAATAAAAGCATTATTGATGTCTATCATGATCATTTTTTAATACTTATACCAATGACTTTGTGTTTTTAGCTTAAATCTCTGTTTGGGCGGTAAAAAGATAAGATAAGACAGACATTCCGTGCGATAAAACAGCATTGTATGTAATGACAGCCTTATCAGGGTGTAATTTGTCATACTTGGTAACCTTTACGTCTGATGGTTTCACATGTTTCTGTACCATGGCTGTTTTTCTACGATGGCCGACAGGAGCCTGGCAAAAAGATGTGAATTTTCATATCTTTTTGTACCATGGTACACTTTTATATGGTACACAAAGATGTTAAAATTCAAATCTTTGTGTACCATGTAAAAGTGTACCATGGTACACAAAGATATGAAACCAGAAATAAAACAACCCGTTGCTTTTGTATCTTTCTGTACCAAAATAACGGCCGAAAACAGCCATGATACAGAAAAATGTAAAACCATCAGACGAAAAGGTTACCAAGTATGACAAATTACACCCTGATAAGACTGTCATCACATACAATGAAATGTTATCGCACGGAATGTCTGTTATTTTTACTACACCAAATGAACTACCAAACTATTACTTACTCATTTAAATTGGAATCAACTATTCAATATCCTTTACAGATTTTTTATAAATGTGTTACGTTAAAAAGGAAGTCATTATGGATTATTTTTCTAATACTTACATTTCTAATATGTATTCTATCTGCTTCAACTTCTCAAACGAAAGAAACTCCAAATCAGTCGAAAACGCCGACGGGGTCGTAGGGGACAAGGGGACAAAAGGGGTCAATCAGTTTAATTACATCGAAGGATAAATAGGCTATCTTTTATAAAATATTTTTAGGAAATACGATGAGCTAGTTGTACGATTCTTTTATAATCTGGACATCTATCAAAACAAGGGAAGTGACGAAAATATACATATGTCCTTTATTCCTTTTGGAGACCCTGTCAAGGCCCACGTACTAACACAATTGCAACTAACTCTGTTTTTCATCAGAAGCGATAAATGAGCTTCACGACTTGTTTTGACGTTGTAATTAGGGCTTTACTATTCGAGGTCAGTTCTGGTCATAGTGTCCGAAAACAACATTCTGATGCTCTGGTGGTACACTTTTTTCATATCTATTTGTACCGGAGGTGGTACAAAAATAAATGAAAAAAGTGTAACGCGTGCTTTCATGGTACACTTTTTCAGATCTATTTGTACCGTAGTTGGTACAAAAAGAAATGAAAAAAGTGTAACGCGGTACAAAAAGGAGAGAAGCTTTCATATCTCTTTGTACCGGGCAAAAGTGTACCACGGTACAGAAAGATATGAAAAATCAAATCATTTTAGTTTAAACTTTATTTTATTTTTACAACAACATTTCATGATACACAAAATATTCCATAAGGATTCAGAACAAAAGTTAATAACTTATGTAAAGTCGTCTCTTTTTAAACATATACAAGCTAGCAGCAACTTATCGATCAGTTAGAGAGAGAGAGAGAGAGAGTATAGGCAGACTCAACAAAATACATGATGATAAGGGAATACAAACTTTAAAATGGCATATTTGAGAAGAACAATATATATGGTTAGAATTATATTCTAGTAATTAATCATGTAGTGTTCAATTATCAAAACATTAACGATTGAATTAATAATTAAAAATAATAATAACTTGCATTGGTGTATGCAATAGTGCCAAATCATTTTGCCGGCTGATATCGGCTGTTGGTACATATACATGTGAAAGTAAAGAGCATTTTTGTAAAGTTGTTTATAATCTTTATGTATCGCGCATGGTATGAAATGATTTGAATTTTCATATCTTTGTGTACCATGGTACACTTTTACATGGTACACAAAGATTTGAATGTTCCTATCTTTGTGTAACATATAAAAGTGTACCATGGTACAAAAAGATATGAAAATTCATATTTTTTGTCAGGCTCTTGTCGGCCATCGTACATACCAGCGTACAGACAGCTACGCGTCTGTTTGTCGCGTCTACTGAACAAGCAGTACTGCAGGGGTTTGACGGTTTTATTTTATTATGTTTTACATCCTATTAACAGCCAATGTCATTAAATGACGTGACTCCATGCATGTGGTGTATGCGTGCATGTGTGCAGGGGTTTGACATTCTAGAACTGAAATGTGACTCATTATTTTTGGATTATTGATAATCATTATCTTTGGCGGCATACCTGCTCGGCAACCTTGTAGAAGGTTTGTACGTCTGTAGGTGCGCGTATAAAAACATGATTTCTTACCTTAGCAGCATTGGAAGGTGAGAAAATGTGTATTATCACCGTCTATCACTAAAACCGGAAGTTTTGGCATAAAAGGAAGCCATTTTCCTCTGCATTCATAAAACTCATTGGAATCCATGCTTGTTCCGTCTCTTGTACAATGACATTTATCAAGTGCTTGTTTTTAGTCAGTGTAAAGTCAAGAAAATTAAAAAAAAATGTGTTTGCATTAAAATTCAAGGTTATATCCACGACGTTTTGTATAGGTCTAGTCCAAAATAAGGAAAATGTCGTTTTAGTTTTTTCCACAGTCAAAAAGTAAGGCGTCATTCTTTAATTCTCATGCCCCACCTTACCCTGATTTGGCACGCATAGTATATCAGCAGCAGATTATGACAAGTTGACCATTTTGACGACAGTCATCGACCCTTTAAGTACTTAGTTTCTAAAGTAATTAAGATGATTTAAGTCCGTCTTTAAGTCAGTTACTTAACTAGGAGCTATTAGTTGATATACTGAACCGCAAGGGTGAAACGAAAGAAGCCGCTTGAAACCCAAAAGGATAACAAAACACAAAGTCCTGATGTGTAAACCACACTGAACAATCTATATTTGTGACTGCAAACAAAAGTATCTGATATTTCATTCTCCCACACTTCACAGGTACATTCCCGTTTTTGGAAGGGAAAAGATAAACCCTGTCTTGATCTACCTCGATCAAGACAGCTGACACGCGCTATTACGTCACGGACAACGCACTTCTTTCAACATGACCTGTGACCCTGTGCACTTTTAGCAAAACCGATTACATAATCACTTTTTACACGCATGATAAAACATATGTAAACAAACCATGGCAAGCTCAGCATTCCCACAGTTCAAAATAGGCGAATGTGTTGCCGTGGGAAAAAAATGGTGTAAAGGGAAGAAAAAAATTCGGTGCATTGGGGTCAGTGAAGGTATTTTTTCGGTTTAAAATATGGGAGAAAAATAATCAATCACTCCTGTGTGATGTAGACAGAGATATCTCTGTCTACATCACACAGGAGTGATAGATTCTATTAATCTTTGTCAGCAAACACTATTACCTTTTCTGCTTGCAATTTTTCGAAAACCGAAATACTAGCTAATCACACTTCTGTTTTATACAATCTTTCATATCCATTTATGATATGGATACGGACCTACCTCGTTTGTATTGGATTCCGGAACTTCACAAGAGAATCCTTGTAAATGACGTTTTATCGCTGCCTCATCTTGTTGTTCAAACAAGCCTCTGTACAAACTTCTTGTACTATTCTTGGTACCGTTTAATCAGGGTTACAGTCTATTTTAAAGATATTTTGATCAATCTTGAACATCCTTTTCCCAAAAATGTTTCCTCTATTAAACTTTTGACTTGTCTACCCTTTACAATACCATTCCTCATACCAAACAGAAGCAACGCCTTCGTTCTCTTGTTATGAGGAGAGCTTTATTTTCAAAAAGAATGGCGAACAGCGATATAAATACGTGGTTGTAAATTATTTGGAGCATATTTTATGTAAGCACAACATAAACAACAGCACATCATTCTATTACATTTCCCCATCGTTTGACTTCCAACTGTATTTTAAGTACAACAAAGATTAAAATAAATTATTGAGTTTCTGGTTGACAAAATCTTTAAAGTTCGATGGTAAGACTTTCTAGCATCATCCAGACTGTAGACATTCCTGTGGGGAGAAAGTGTGCCCCTCCTCTGACCGATTTGGGTTTTTTTCGTACGAGGCTAAATTTATTAATGGAAGATCAAGACAAAAAAACGTGCCAAGTCCTTCAATTTTACATTAAGATATATCGACGATGGACTGTCTTTAACAAGACATTGATAGACCACATTGCTATAGAGCTTGAAATTTTAACATTATCAAAAGCGCTGTACGATACGGAGGGCAATTTTAATTTTCCTATCATGAACCTTCTCTTTGTTTACGGTCGCATCCCTACATTCCCATGTTGCAGTGGATTTGGTCCAAATTCTAGAGCTTGATCCAAAAAGCATAACTGCAGGCGGAACAAGAACACGGTTACCAGGGCTGCCACATAAAAAAATCTCGTTTACCATAAGCGGTGATGTACAATGCAAACATGTTTGCTCCAGACTGCTGAAGGATTGAGCTTATCCTGGTGGAATTATAGAAGATGTATAAAGCGTTTAAAAACAGTTAACCAGATTTGAGGCCAGGGTAGTTGTCTTTGATTCAGGTGTAAAATGGTCCGAAAAAAACAGCACCCTGTCAAAGCCAGAAGAGGACCACCATTACAACGATTTGTCAAAATCGGCCTAAGGCAGGTTGGATAAGGCTAGAGATATCTCAACCAAACGTCATGGCAACCATCTTGGATTTCAATCCAGAGAGCTAAAAAATCAACACTAGATAAATGTCATGATTATGAGATCTCCAATCGATAATAAAAATTCATGTATAACTAGAGAAAATGTATATATTGATCAACCTTTAATCATTGCACATATTGGACCCTTTCTCACTTCCTTGGTTTAATAAGGGCCACATCCTTTATTGATAAAAAAAAATCCAGTCTAGAACGTATACCGTTAGTCAAGCCGTATTTAACCCTGATAGTCTCTCAAATATTTGTTCATTATTTCCCTTATTGGGCCCCACTCGCATGTCCTATGGAGGGACTCATCCATTATTAACAAGTTGATTATTATAGATTACCGGGTATTCCAAAGATGCCCAGTTTCACTTCGTTTGATGGAGTGTCGAGGCATTGCCTTTATGACCTCTGCAAACATCCGGATGTTTCCATATCCGTCCTTCGTTCCTATATTACTCCTTACCTGAAACAAAATGGCGTTGAAACTTTATTATGATTTCATGTCGCAGCCTTGTAGGGCTGCCTTCATCTTCCTGAAACTGAACAAAATCCCATTTGAGCATAAACGTGTTGCACTAAGGAACGGTTTGTATACAAATATCATTTTTATCAGGTGACATTGTGTAGCGAAGCGATTAAATAGCATTTGTCGATGGCCTATTTCATGACCCCAACAGCCCACTTAGTACCCGGCCTCTTCTGACCAAAGGTGGTGGGCACGTCTATCAAAATCTTTTTTGAATAAATAAAACTAGTCTTATCTATTAAAAAAAATTGATAGACGTGCCCTCTACCTATGCTCTGACGACACAATAGTTATAAAAATGTCTCGTCATCAAAAGAAACGTTATCGCAGCTAGTGAGCTACCTCCAACTCAGCCCCGCAAGACCAAATAAAATTCACGTTTCCAAGTCATATGAGATTCTTAGTTTCATGAAATGAAATCAAAATAGAACTGAGTCAATTGCACTAAATTGTCCTTTTTCTAATTCTTTGCCCCTGAAGAAAACACTATTAACAGGTCGGGGAAAACCACTAACTTGCGTATAATACACAAACTTGCCTATTATACGCCAATAGGGGTATGGATTTGTTACTAAAATTAGCCAAAATCACTTTAATCTTAACTTTTTCAAACTGTTTGTCCCAGTCGCATTTATTCAGTAATGAAACATAATACAAATGTGGGAAAGTTCCAAAAATAGATGCAATTCCTTCTGGTAAAGTTACATCAAGTTTCTAAGTGGCCAACGCTTACAGTAAACATCCTCTAGCAAAATATTATTTACCTTGTCGTAAATTAACGCAATTTTTAATAATATCTTGCAAAAGTTACTGTTAAAGCGATTTGGGTTATTACCTTACCTGGCCCGAAGGACCAAGGTGAGCTTATGACATACCGTGGCGTCCGTCGTCCGTACGTCAACAATTTCTTTGAACGACTTCTTCTTCTTAACCACTGATTGGAATTTAACTTAACTTTACTGGAAGCATCCCTAGGTGGTGAGGTTTCAAAATTGTACAAATGGTGGGGCTGACCCCCTAGGGGACTGAGGGGCGGGGCCAAAAGGGGACAATTTGGCTTTAATGCTTTAAGCGACTTCTTCTCTGGAACTAAGAGATGGATATCAACCATATTTATCTGGAAGCATCCCTAGGTGTTGGGGATTCAAAATTGTACAAATGGTGGGGCTGACCCACCAGGGGGCTGAGGGACGGGGCCAAAAGGGGGCAATATGGCTATATTGCCATAAAAGACTTCTGTAGAACTGTGCCATGGATATTGATCATATTTGGTTGGAAGCATTCATGGGAGGCAGGGATTCAAAATTGTACAAATGGTGGGGCTGACATAAAGAGATAAATGCAGTCATGATATTAGAATTGATCCTGGGGTCTGGCCACAACCCTAGGGATCTAGTTTATGAGTTACAGCTTGGAAACAGTTGAGATCTCCACCCCATAACCATACATAAAATTGCTGGGCATGAAAAATCTATTACAGATATCTACAAGGATTGACCTTGGGGTCTGGCATATTCCCTTGGATCTCATTTGGAGAATATTTTGCCATGATTGCTTAGATATTGAGGTGAGCGATACAGGCCCTCTGGGCCTCTTGTTTTTAGTAACAAATCCATACTCCAACTGGCGTATAATAGGCTAGTTTGTCCCCAACCTGATTAAGAACCCAGGTTCGGGTATATCCCCTGGCCAAGCATTCAAAACAAGTGTTGCAAGAGGCACCAATTTTGTAATAGGAGTGGAAAAGTCACTGCCAGACTGGGATTTGAACCTGAGACCCTCCAAACTCCAGGCAATTACGCTTCATGATCAGTCTGTAATAATTTTATCTCATCTCTTTATATTTTTAGCTCACCTGGCACGAAGTGCCAAGTGAGCTTATGCCGTGGCCCGGCGTCCGTCTGTCGTCCGTCCGTCCGTCTTCGTCCGTCAACTTCTTTAAACAACTTCTTCTGAAGAACGGACAGGCCTAGAGTCATGATATTTGGCTGAAAGCTTCGTTGGTAGGAGCCCTACAAAGTTTGAGAACGAAAATGACCTTGACCTGTTTTCAAGGTCACAGGGGTCAAATATGTCAAAAACTTCAAACGACTTCTTCTGAAGAATTAAAAGGTATAGAATCTTCATATTTGGCTGATGGCTTCCTTGGATGGAGCCCAACAAAGTTTGAGAATGAAAATTACCTTGACCTTCTTTCAAGGTCACAGGGGTCAAATGTGTCAAACACTTCAAACGACTTCTTCTGAAGAACTGAAAGGTATATAATCTTTATATTTGGCTGGTGGCTTCCTGGGATAGAGCCCAACAAAGTTTGAGAATGAAAACTAGTTTGACCTACTTTCAAGGTCACAGGGGTCATATATGTCAAAAGCTTCAAATGACTTCTTCTGAAGAACTGAAAGGTATAGAATCTTTATTTTTGATTGATGGCTTCCTTGGATAGAGCCCGACAAAGTTTGAGAATGAAAATGACCTTGACCTTCTTTCAAGGTCACAGGAGTCAAATGTGTCAGACACTTCAAACGACTTCTTCTGAAGAACTGAAAGGTATATAATCTCTATATTTGGCTTGTAGCTTCCTAGGAAAGAGCCGAACAAAGTTTGAGAATGAAAATGACCTTGACCTTCTTTTAAGGTCACATGAGGCAGATATGTCAAACACTTTAAACGACTTCTTCTGAAGAACTGGTAGTTATAAAATCTTAATATTTGGCAGGTGGCTTCCTGGGAAAGAGCCAAACAAAGTTTGCGAATGAAAATGACCTTGACCTACTTTCAAGGTCACAGCGTTCAAATATGTCAAACAGTTCAAACAGCTTCTTCTGAAGAATTAAAAGGCATAAAATTATAATATTTGGCTGGTGACTTCCCGGGATAGAGCTCACCAAAGTTTGCAAATGAAAATGACCTCAACCTACTTTAGAGGTCACAGAGGTCAACAACATTTTAATGGATTTGTTCTTGAGAACTAAAAGGAATGGATTCATAAGATTTGGCTGGTAGCTTTTTGGAATAGAGCTAACCAATTTGAGAAGGAAAATGACATTGACCTACTGACAAGATCACAGGGAAAAATTTGTCAAGCAACTTACGAAGAAGAATCAAAAAGCATAGAATCTTATAATAATATTTTGCTGGTAGTTTTAACAGATGGAGCCAACAAAGTTTGCGAGGGAAATATTTTTAGTGCAATATAATATTTAATGAGAATATTTTGCTATGACTGCTTAAATATTCAGGTGAGCGATACAGGCCCTCTTGGGCCTCTTGTTTGTTTTAAGAATGAACACTCGATATACATCAAAATCTTGAAAATCTATTTGTCCACTCTTATGCAGGGCTGTGCAATTTCCTATTTAGAGTACTGGACTGCACGATGATTTTCTAAAGTTCTACTAGCAAGACCTATATTTCTATAGTAATTATTGAACATTTTCACTGGCCAAAATATAAAATCTACTAGCCCCAGATATTTAGGTTTGTGGAATTGTACACCCCTGTGCTTATAACCCATTCACCCTAAAGTCACTTTTGAACCTTACCAAATCAATGACTGGGCAAGACCAGTTTAAAAATGGAGGGGTGAATGAGGTAATATCACATGCAGCTCTGCACAGTATGATTTGCTAATGACAGAATCAAAGGTCTTCATTTTGATAATTTCTGGACATCAAAAATTGACCAATGATTGAATCACAGGGCTATAGTAAACAGTATTTGTAGTGCATGTATTTTCAAAGAAGTGCTCCAAGGTATAACCCATTCAGCTTTACCAGTATGCATGCCATTCACTTACCTCTTTCATAACTCTAAAAGACTCTAAAGGGATCGCAGTAGTCCGAGTGCAAGATTCTTTCACAGTTTCTAGGCTAGGTAACTACATGTAATATATCACAAAGTGTTAAACGAGCTGGTACATGCAAAGACTGATTCTGTTACAAGAAATATCAAGGAAGCAAAAAAGATATAGTTGAACCCATTTATTAAGTGACGATCTTAAACAAAATGTATAGGAAAATTTATTTGTATATCAGTCCAAATTTTACTCTTTTAAAAAATTTTCATTGCTGACAAAGATATAATGGGGGGATAAAAGATACAAAATGCAAAAAAAAAGATGTATATATAAAAAAAATATAATTGTATTTCAAGAGCTTTTAAAATTTCCATAAGATTCCAAAATATTAAGCAGGGGACATTTTAGAGTTTTTGTTTTGACACAGCCCGGTAAAATAAAAATAAAAATTTGTATTTTAAACACATCTTGGTCTTTTCTATAGGAAAAATGTAGTTACTCATTCATTTTCAAATACAATCTACTTGTAAATATGAAGATATAATTTTGATCAGAACATTATTATGATTCCAATGGAATTTGGCCTTACAGGGTTTGGTACAAGGTCTTTCTGTGTCCATTAAAACTTTTCATTTCAAAGCTTTCTCCTCCTGAATGACTGATCAGATTTCAACCAAGTTTGGTTTGAAGCATATAACTTGGTGGTGGTTGAGAGTCTAATAATGTAAAAATAATGGATGTCAACACACGCATCCTTCCCCCTTCCTTTCCCAGGAGGGCATAAGAGCTTGCCTCGATAGTAGAAAACAGGGGTAATTAAAACTAAAAAAAAACCTAGTCCTTCAGTAAAGATGAACATATTTTATCCAACTTTGGCCTTAAGCATCACTTGTTCAAAATGACCTGTATAATCAAAAGGTGTTACTTGGGCAATTCCGTCTTTTTGTATTGCAGAGTTACCTGCTCTTGTGAGCAGGTATTTATTGTTACGTCATTTGTTTGTGAGAGTAACGTCATCAATTTTTGAGCAAACGACATAATTTTCTCACAAAAGAGAAGATAATTCTGCAAAACGCAAAGACGGAATAAGAAAGCTGAGGTGCCCGATATGATCTCAAGTTAGTGAAAGCATTTCAAAGTCTAGTCTAGATAAGAAATTAAACCAGTGAGCGGTGCATGTCATATGGGCCTTTTTGTTCACCCAAAAAATATCTGAAAAGTTATTGAATGCAAGGGACATGTTTAAACAACCCCATTCCTTAGGGTACTTATCAGCCCTGCATATGTTTGTCAGGTGACAGGCTTGAATATAACTGGTATCCAAACAAAAGCCGTTTATCTGGTTAACGCCCTAACATCTAAAGGTATGCTGAGTGATTACTGCTTTAAACCCCTTGGGATTTCCAAATTGTTGATAAGCTATGGGTTTTGCCCAATTTAAAAAACCCTCCATCGTAATTTACCTGTTCATGATTCATACAGGCTTCGAGGACGAAATTCTTTTCAGCACTTACTCAGCACTTTTCCAGCAGTGTCTTTACAATTTTCAAGGTCAACTATTTTTGAAATCGGATTGATTTTTTTTTATATTTTTAGCCCACCATCATCTGATGGTGGGCTTTTCAAATCACCCTGCGTCCGTGGTCCGTCGTCNGAATGATTTGACTTTTTATAATAAATACTGACACAATATTTGGAAACTGTCCTTTAAAGAATACATGTTGATTATGTCAAGTACGTTAATTCAAGCCTTTCAGAGAATACTGAACAAATTTCTGTAATTTTAAAAGATAGATATTAACCAGTAAACGAAAGTTTTGATCTCAATTCCAGCACAGTTAACAGCTTGTATGAACCACACTTTCCTTCAACCAGGGACATGAAAAATTCTTATATCAAATGTAGGTCACTGTGATCTTTATTTTCTGCATCACTGACTTGGTTAGACTTTACACTAATCTCCATTAATAATTCAATCACTAGAAGTCCAAGAGTCATAACACTTTGTATATCTATTGATACATCTTGAGAAGTACTATACCAGTACAAGTCCATCAAAGTAGGTCACTGTGACCTACTTTTTCTGCTTCACTATCTCCAGTTAGACCTTGTGTTCAGATTGATTTCTTTGGTCTGATTTTGCATTTCCTAATCTTTGTCAGATTAGACAGGATGGCAGTATATTTTTTAGCAGAATTTGGGAGGATTTCAACATGATGTTGGACCAGAGAGGGTGTTGGATTATACAGGTTTCACTGTACCATTAACTCATTCACCCCTGCAATTTCATAATGAAGTATTCCAAATATTGAAATTGAAGAGTTCAAATGTGCCTTCAGGGGTGAATGAGTTAACCAAAATATATTGACACCCCTTTCCCTTAGGCCCCTGGGAAGTATTCCCCCATTGGCCTTTAAAACAAATTTGCTGAATTCCTTCATGTATACTGTTCACAAACACTATATAAAGGTTCCCCAACAAGTGACAGTTGGTTATCATGTCTATCTAACTCAAGTTTGTTTATGTTCAAATAGTATTAAGACACATGGTTTATCAAGTGTTCTTTACAATTTGAATATTAACTTTAATACGAGAGTTAGATAAACATGATAATCAAGCGTCACGAGTTTGGGGACATTTTTCTTCCACAACATTCAGATGTCATATCTAGAAATCCATATGTTTCTCTTAGGAATACATTATTACTGTTCCCTATTTAGGAAAGAATTGCAATGAGTTATGACGTCACATTAGAAGATGACATCACAAAGTATTGTTACATAACGTCATTAATAGAAGGTTGACCAATGAAATAACGTCCAGAGTGATATGTTTACCTACTCCTAGCAGGTTTATCCAATGAATCAGCAGTGAGGAAACCAACAGTGGTTGCGGGAGAAATATATATTATTTGCCAAAATTCAAGTGGTTAAGGCGTCTGACATTCTGCTACCACTAGCCCTGACATTCTGCTACCGCTAGCCCTCCACAACTGGGTCACGGGTTCAAGGCCTACGTGGGGCAGTTGCCAGGGTACTGGCCGTATGTCGGTGGTTTTCCTCCACCACCAAAACCTGGAACGTCCTTAAATGATCATAGCTGTTAATAGGACGTAAAACACAAACAAACCTAAGCCAAAATTTAGTTTGATTGCCCTCTCATTGAAAATTGAAGACTTGCCACATCTAGATGGACAACAACAACAAGCATACATTTGTACTACATCTGATTGCCAGTGTATCTTTATTGTAATTATTATTTAAGAAAAGTGAGTGAACTATCATTAGTTGAATAACATTTTTTTTACCTTTACAGGAGAACATCGCAGTGCCGATTTCAAGAAGATCAGCCCCATCAGTCTCGTTCCAGTCATAGACGATGATGGCTTCATTCTCACAGAAAGGTATTCATTAAGGGGATTTTATTGCAAGTACATAATTCTTCAGGAAGGTCAGCTCCATTGATCTTCAGTTCTAGGTATAAATAGTTTTGGGAATTTATTTTCATAGAAAGCCAGGTATTACCAGGTATTACCCTCAATCAGTTTTAACTCATTCACCCCTGAAATTTCATAATGAACTATTCTATCCTTTGAATTGGAAGAGTTCAAATGTGTCTTCAGGGGTGAATGAGTTAATGAAGACAAACTGTATTTGTCATATTTGTCTCTGAACCGAAAAACAACACCTGTGGGGAAACGGCTAAAGAAACAGCAGTCATGCAATGCAAAAAAGTACTTTTATGTATGCAGTTTTCACTTGATGATACTTTTATTACAATTTAACTGTATAAAGGTTTTTTGACTGCTGATTATCGTTACATGGATAATTTAAAGGCGAGAATAATTACCAAAACAAAACTCTGGTGATTTACGTGCAGTGCGATGCCATTTATTTCGATATCATTTTCAAAAGTTACTTTATCAAAACTAATACTAGTTTGGAGAAGAAATTTAATCAGAATCCCCCTTTGACTATTAACTATTTGAATTATGTATAATTTTCAGCTGATATTGATTGTTCATCCCCCAATATTGGCCAAAATACCCTTTCAGGGTACAGTAATTCCTGTTCAAGGGCCAATGTGAACCTGATATCATTTTGCGTATTATTTATAGAGCAACATGCCAGAAATACAAACTTGAAATGGAAATGAAAAGTGAATGGTATCTTTTTATGAAAAATTAACAAAAACAATCAGAATCGATGGTATGGTATCAAGTACATTGATATGTTAGACCCTTTGACACATGTACATTTCCAGGGAGAATTTAAAAAAAAAAAAAAAATCTTTGAAACAATCTAGTCAGATCGTGAAACATTAGCATATCTAGTTAAAAGTTTGAATATCAATAGTTTGTAAGTGTGAAACATGTGTACAAGTATGATTTATTCTGCAGTGTGGCTATCCTGAAGTACCTGGCTCTGAAACACAACGTGCCTGACCACTGGTACCCGCGGACTGACCTCAAGGCTCAGGCCAGGATAGACGAGTACTTGAACTATCAACACTTCAGCACCAGGCTCAACATGGCTATGCTCTTTCAAAATTTAGTGAGTATTACATTAATTTCGACATCTTCTCTTTCCGAAACATGGTACCATTTGTTAAAAATAATCTCATTTAATGGTAAGCATCAATCATTATTGAATTTGTCACGGGGCATTTTCTGGCCATTTAATTTTGTCAAATAAATTTGTCAAATTAGAAAGAATGATAAATGTTTGGTAATTACCGGTAAGTTCCTAGACAAGGATATGTATGTAAATCTATTATTTTTTTTATTCATTACATAAATCAGAAAGTATAACTACATTTAGTGACCAAGCACCTAAACTAGCTATGAGCAACTGGTATAAAATAATAATCAGTTTTTAACCGGAAGTAGTAAACAAATTTATGATTGATTGCATCATAATCAGTATATAATTTTAAGGGGCTTGACACACAAATGAAGTCACAACATTTTTGTAACATCTAGATCTATAGACAGTGTTGTTTAGTATACATGAGGTTTCTTTGTTTTATAATGAATACCTGGTAGCTTACGGCCAACTTTACAGACTGTTTTTCCAACATTAAAATCAACACATAATAAAAAGGGAAAAACCGAGAAGCTTTTACATGCATACATAACCAACTGAGTTAATTAATGAACCAATTGTATCAATTATGGAATATGTTGTTGATAATTGGAGTCAGAAAGGGCAAACCTATTGATTTTCGATTATAAGTCATCGGCCCATCACTGATGCTTATATTCAGAGCTTATAGATCCAGAGTACTAAATCACATGGTTATTGTCATTTTAAAGAGTCCCTATACATGTCTGAAAAAACTTGTAACAAGTTCTTTCGGAATGATATCAGATAGCTCTGCTGTCAAACTATAGCGTATAGTACAGAAAAGATCTTATTCATGAAGGTAAAAATTACGAAATTCATAACTTCTACCATTTTTTTTTATTCTCAGGCAATCTTACCAAGGCTGAGAAACAAACCAGTTGACTGGAAACAAGTTGAAAAATTCAGAAAAGGTACTGAAGTTACCGTCAATCAAATAGACCAGTATTTCCTGAAGGACAATCGACCATACCTTGCTGGTGACGACATTTCACTGGCAGATCTAGTCGGGATATGTGAAGTGATGCAGCTATATGCCTGTTGTGAGGAACGGTTTGTCGAGTCCAATCTAAATGTGAACTCTTGGCTTGAACGTGTCAAACCACAACTTGATCCATATTTTGATGAATCCAATGTTATGGTAAATAAAGTACGGGAACATTTTCTAAAAACGCCGCCAGTACAACCGAAATTATAGCTACTTTCGCCTGTTATATTGTCTGCATTATATTGTAATCAGATATAAATGACAAAATGGAAAATGTTGAAATTATGGTTACTGTGGTAGTAAGATTGAATTAATCATGTGTATGGATGTATAAGAAAATTAAAATATTCAGGAAATTGTTTAAGTCTATTAAGTTGTTTTTAGAATAATAAAAGTGTGGTATTTCTTTGCTGTGTATTATATTATCCCCTCACAATAAGGGTGAGGGGGCAATTTCCTTTCTTTCATGCATTTAACTTTTTCTCATCACCCTAGCAACTTCTTTTCTGTTGGATTTTGATAAAAATTCATAAACCAGTAATGATAAGTAAATATATACCTCCAACAAATTTGTGTTTCAGGGCTTTGATGTCGAAGTTGTTACTGTTTTTCATCATTTTGATTAGTTCATTTCTGAATGGAATTTGATAAATTTAATTTTCACAGATTATAATTTCACGATCTAGACATGTGAAGGAACTAAATTCTTGCCTTCAGACCAGACACTTGTCATATAAAGTGTCATGTATTCAAATGAATATATGCTTTGTGGCAGCATAATGAGCAACAAGTAATTATACAATGTAAGTGTGTTTTGTTAAACAAACCGTCAACAAAACTGTAAGATGTACATGTACATGATATACATGTAAATAGGATCTTACATGAGTGTCCATTTCATATGAGATTTATGAGGTTTCATAAATTTCATATGAAATGAAAATGAGTAAGATCTTTTTTATCACATAATCAGGATTTGTGGCATTTACATGTATTCGTGTAAAACGACAATTTTCATGCAGCCTTGAAATGTAAAAAGCCACCATTTTGACTCGAGTGCATAAGTATGGGACGTCATGTACATGTACTTGTCCTAGGTGTGACGTCACAATTGAAACAATTGAAACTTACAACCAATCACAGGGCTGAAAGGTCATATTACATGGGTTGATATGCAAAAAAATATGACATGGGTATATTCACTGGATAACACATACGTACAGTACATTATGTGATAAAATTTATTTTCAAACATCTTGTTATACTCCTGATGTATACGAATTATCACAACCATATACTCATTATTTCACGACAACATTATGGTTATGAAATTTATTATACATGTATACGTAGCAGCCCATTTTTACACTTGTCATATGATTCTGCAGCTCACATTTTCGCAATCACGTTATTGACCCGTGAAATCGCGAAAAAAATATCATCTACGCAGAAATATCCTGCTGATAGGTATTTATAGAAAATCTTTATCGCTAGCAACATTCTAACTTCTCCTGAAGAGAACTTTGAAGTTAACTTGTGGATGTAGAAACAAACATTAAAATTTACTTAATATTAGGGGAGAATGAAAAAGCTAGAGTGATGCATGATTATATATATACATATATATATATAATTAGGTTTTGTTTACAAGATGCAAAATATACACAGAGTGTTTAAGCTTGAATTGTTGTAATCTAATATTGTGTTTATCACGAGAATTTTGAGACAACCAGTGCTGTTACCATATGCTTATTACCAGGTTGACTTTTTGCCAGTAAGACATTAAACTGTTATATGTACATATTTGTTAAGATAATTAAGACGTTTATTAAATGTGGTGACTCTTACATTATATGCCATATTGTTATTAATTTGCAATAAGACCAGGGCCCGTATTCATGAAACCATTCTCTTGCTCAAACTCAGATTCTGTGCTCGAGCCACTTTTTCTTGTTTCAGCGACAAAAAAAAATGATAAAAAGTTATCATTTTGACAATGATTTGGAAGAATTTTGGGGAGACTTCAACCAGAATACTGTTTTCAGTATTCAAACATGAAATTGTGATCTTGTCAAGTGTTTAAGGGAGTAGTAAGAAAAGGAGTTTGAGCACAGAATCCATGCTTGAGTATGATCATGTTTATAATGAATACAGGTTAGGCCACGAACGAAGGAATGCTCGATTGCTGGTCAATTGAGCATTGATATAAGTAATGATTCTCTCTGGACCATAGCAGGGAGACCTCTTTCAAAGGTTACCACTCATATAAACTAGAAAATGTCTAAGACATAAATGCCCCTGCTCATGGATGGGACAGGACAGGACGCGATGGGATGGACATGGGCAACACTTTATGCCCTCCCCCCCTCCCCCCCCCCATTTTATGGCGGGGGCGCCATAATAAGTAAAAGTAGGATGGACGCCTCCTCTCCTCTATCATCCTTTTCTATCCCTTCATTTCTTACTTTATCCCTCCTACTCTTTTCCTATCTTTTCTTCGTCCGCTGGAAAACAGAACTACTACGAAGTAAAACCCCACAAACAAGGACAAAAGCTTTTTTAGCTCACCTGGTCCAGAGGACCATGGTGAGCTTATGCCGTCCAGCGTCCGTCGTCCGTCCGTCTACTTTTCCTTTAAAACTCTACTTGTCCTGAACAGCCATGTAGATTTTGGCTAAACATGGTCTTGAGCATCCTTAGGCCAAGGGAACTCAATTTTGTATAAATGGTGGGTGTGGCCCCCCTGGGGGCAGAGGGGCGAGGCCCAATTGGGAAAATAGAGGTAAAACCTTTACAATCCTTATCCTTATTTAGTCTGGAGCATCCAAGGGGACTCAGTTTTGTATAAATGGTGGGCGTGGCTCTCCTTCAGGGCAGGGCGAGAAAGGGAAATAGAGGTAAAAACTTCAAAATCCTTCTCCTACCTAGGGATTAAAGGATTTTATCCTTATTTAGTGTGGAGCATCCTTGGCCAAGGGGACTCAATTTTGTATAAACTGTGGGTCTGGCCCCCCAGGGGCCCGAGGGTCGGGACCCAATAGGGGAAACCTACATGTAGCAATTTTTTTTTTTTAAATCCTTCTTCTTCTGGTGGAATGGAAAGGATTTGGTCCATATTTGGTGTGGAGCATCCTTGGGTAAAGGGGAACAAATTTTGTATAAACGGTGGGTCTAGACCCCCTGGGGGCTTAGGGGCGGGGCCAAATAGGGGAAATATAACAAATTCTTTAAAATCCTTCTTCTGTAGGAATGAAAGGATTTGTTCCATATTTGGTATGGAGCATCCTTGGGTAAAGGGGAACCAATTTTGTATAAACGGTGGATGTGGTCTTCAAGGGGGCAGAAGGGTGGGGCCCGATAAGGGAAATAGAGGTAAACCTTTAAAATCCTTCTTCTACCATTCAAAGACTTTTATTAAAAACAAACATTTTGGTCAATTTTGATAATAATTACATACTTTATTTTATTTAGTAACATACACAAATCATTTCAATTTATTATTTGCCAACAACCAACATAAGAAGTTTCAATTATTCTGTAGCATATTTCTTGTATGTCCATTGTAATATTCAAATACAGCCCAGAGTACAATGTACATGTATATAAAGTTTGAATATAACTTTGTCTTGTACAACAATAATATTTTTTGAAATATTATATGTCCAATTCAATGTTATGCCAACATGAAGAAGTATGCAAAATAACAATTCTCTTGTAAAATAGTTTTGTCACAGTAACATCTACGCCTGTTAAAGTCTTTAACACATGATGACCTCTTTTAATTCCCAAAGGTCATTCTTAGACTGTTTACCACTTTAAAACAAGTGCCTACTCAGTATCATAAATTGAGAAACACAATTTCACTTTCTTACCAAAAATTATGCCTTCAAGCACTCTTGATTTCAAATGAATTCTCATATGACAAAAATGTACGCATACTTTCAAGCACTTCAACATGCTCATGACTTAAAACATATTCTCATAAGACAACCTTTTACGTTCAAGCAATTTCACATCTACACAGGACACCAATTGCAACTGAAGCCAAGTTTTCCACCTTTGTATATCCTCACTCTTTTAACATTAGGTGGATAAATATTCATAGATCCATGTATTGTCTAGTTCCTGTACAAGTGGATAGGCGTTTGTTCAACTTGTCTCTATATAACCTCTGACCTACTGTACATCTGATCAGAAGAATTACTGTAGTCACTAACCATTACTGATCCACTAATCCACCACTGAACAGGAGGATTACTGTAGTCTTTAATCCACCACTGAACGGGAGGATTACTGTAATATCTAGTCCATTACAGATCCACTAATCAACCACTGAACGGGAGGATTACTGTAATCTCTAATACATCACTAATCCACTAATCCACCACTTAACAGGAGGATTATACTGTAGTCTTTAATTGATCACTGAGCAACTAATCCACTACTGAAAAGGTGGATTACTGTAGTCTCTTATCAATCACTAATCTACCTCTGAAAAGGTGGATTACTGTAATCTCTTATCAATCACTAATCCACTAATCCACCACTGGACAGGAGGATTATTATAGTCACTAATCCACTACTGATCCACTAATCCACCACTGAACAGGAGGATTGCTGTAATATCTAAGCCATCACTGATCCACTAATCCACCACTGGACAGGAGGATTATTGTAGTCACTAATCCACTACTGATCCACTAATCCACCACTGAACAGGAGGATTGCTGTAATATCTAAGCCATCACTGATCCACTAATCCACCACTGGACAGGAGGATTATTGTAGTCACTTATCCACTACTGATCCACTAATCCACCACTGACAAGGAGGATTGCTGTAGTCTCTTATCAATCACTAATCCAATAATCCACCACTGAACAGGAGGATTGCTGTAGTCTTTAATCCACTTCTGATCGACTAATCCACCATCAAACAGGAGGATTGCTGTAGTCTTTAATCCAGCACTATCAGGAGGGCTGTTTCTTACTTTTCTTCTTCAAGCCTTTGGTTGGCCCAAACATCTTGAATGTAGTGCTGTGAAATAGAGGTATAATTATAGGCTTAATGCTGGTTAGTTACTAAAGCTCTCACTTAGGAAATATTATACTGATTTAACAGTGGTTAGTGATGTTGATATTGGTCAAGGACTGAAGGAAGGTGAGGGTTACTTTTCTTCTGAATGTATGGTTGGTGGTTTCCATATGTATATAGTTACAACTGGAAATCCTTAGTTCAAAACCAAGCCCAGATAAAATGCTGATGTTCAAGCTTTATAGCAGAAGATATTACTTGTTCAACATGCTTCAAAGACATATCTATCATTTACGGACTTTTGTCGAGGTCCTTACGTTGTTATATAGACCTGATAGAGGGATATCGACCGAGGATATAGTCTGAGGTCAGTATTACTCATATCTGGTCCATATAACAACGTATTGACCATGACAAAAGTCCTTGATATTTATATTACATATGTCATTAGACAACACGAGGTATTAAATGTCCAAATAGTTACAATCAAGGGGGTGCTTACGAAACGAAATATCCAGGTCTAAAATTAGAAACATGAGGTTGACATATGGTCACGCGCAAGCCAAAAATAGAAATATTGGGTCGATATGCTATAAATCGGCGAACCTCAGACTGAGAAAGGATTAGCAAATAAGAATCAAGGAAAAGCAGACCATATGTAATATTTCCAATTAACCTAACTCAGAGCTGTTACCTTGATTATAAATACATGAATTCATGACATAAATGCTATAAATTATGACACCTAAATCAAGAGTGGCCGTGTATCACATGTTTGTCAGGAGTCATGACAGGATATTAAGTTACTCAAGACAAATTGATTATTCACTCTTTTTTTAGTGCATTATCAAATTTTGACAGAGTAGCATACATATGTAAATGAATTGGCGCACCCAAAATATAATTATACATTAGAACACAATACGCAGGATCTTCAATTAGCCCAATTATAATTTATCGCGATTTTGAAATGAGACGACTGATGTTAATTTACAGTGTTCAGTTAAATTGCTTCAAATTATAAATTTGCATCGAAATTTTCCATCATAGTGTGTTCATCTAATACTGAATTTATGAAACAGGTTTAATTTCTTCTAAAATAGTACGAAATTCAATAAAACAATACGTACTGAACTCTTAAGGATGTGTGGCACAAAATATAAATAATGGGCTGTTATTACAACTAAAAGGTTGGAAATTTCTGATGTTTGATCATTATAGTATTGTCCAGGTGTCACACTGGATTTGTTTTCAGTTTTACAGTTGTGGGATCTATACTTACTGACAGGTGGAACAAATGGGGCTGAATGAGCAGTGGACTGAAACAAAAAATAATGAAACAGAATAAAATATTTTCTTTGGGATGGTGAATATAGACTGTATACCGATTCATACAGCACAACCAGTGAAATGGTTATGTGTGATGCTTCAATGACTAGTACGATATGTATTGATAGATGACAATTTACACTAACCCTTTCACCCCTATGTAACATTAGTAGACTCTACCATGCATTGATCTGGATGAGTCCATTATGGTCTACAGAGGTGAAAGGGTTAAGGTGTAAAATATGTAGGCATTTGCAATATTTTTTACATTACAAAAAAATATGTTTTACTGATGTCAACAAACTGAAAAAAAGGGGACGGGCGCATCACCGGAAAAATATGGTAAAATCACCAAATTAATCAGTTGGTTGGATTGTCATTTTTTTTTTTACATTTTTAAGAATTAAGTGTACATAACAAGCATATAGTGCAGCTATTTCAATGGCCAATTTATATTTTGTTTGCAATGAAAATATTAGTTTTAATGAAAAAATAACTATCTGACAGTGTAGTCCGAATGCTGATCAACTCAGACCATATTTCTTAAACGAACTTCAGAGATGTATGTTAAAAAGAAAAAGAAAAAGAAAAATCTGTGCAATATGCACTTTTAATTCATTTCTATGCGACATTGTTTTTATCCCTTCCAGTAAAACTAGATGGAATACTGTACACAGAGAATTTTCACTGCTGTTTAATTTTTTCCCTTCATTTTCGCCCTCCGTCTTAATGAGGGTGAATTTATCACTACACAGGTTATAAGAAAACAACAAAACATGCATAGTAATTGAATTCTGAAAGGCGAAATTAACATTGGGCGAAAATTTGATTTCATGGGCAAAGTTTGACTGGGCAAAACTTTCCCGTAATACAGTATAGACTTGCTCAATGTCTTTCTATCTGTTTGTCCATCTGTCTTTCTGTTTATCTGATTCACATCTGGACCACAACTTCCAATTATAAAACTTTGTATACCCAATGTTTCACAATACCCTGTTGATACAGTATGTCAGGTACGAATTCCTTGACCCTTAAGCAAAAGGTCATGGTCACAGCAACAGGTTAAAGGTCAAATAAAACTTTTTGTGACTCCCAATGCAAGGGTCCCAAACGATATGGTTTTCATTCGAGAAAAGATTTATCAATGTTATTAGTCATGGTGGAAATAACCGTTTCTAACGCATAGCTACAGTTTTTGCAGTGGTAAAGGGATCACTAACAGGAAATGGTTGTGATCAGCTCAAAAAGCCACACTTACTTGAAAGACACACAGAACATACGTATCCAATATCGATGAGGTTTCGGTGACAGAAGCAGGCAGCCCGGTAGTCGACCTGTGCCTTGGGTGGGAGGGTGAGCTTGTGGCGCTCTGTAGGGTCGGGCAGGAAAATCCACTGGCAATGAAACACACCATAGAGTTAATAACATTGATGTTACTATGTAATGTACAATTTTTATACACTGGAAAAATTGATATTACAGTGTAAAAGTGGAAATTTTCGCTTGTGGAAATGTCTGAATTGTGATTCTTTAAACTGCTCGCAGAGTGTAAATTGTTCCATTGACAGGTTATGAAACTCATATATTCTATACACCTACAATTTAATTATGAATAAATATTCACATGTGGATATTTTCACGCTATTTACTCAACACGAAAAACGTTCAATGAACATCCACTAGCGGACGTTGGAGCTCATTTTCCTTTCTATTTCCACGCACAGGGTGGGTGCCCGGTAACAATGTGTTCATACTTGTAAGCATGAATTCTACTCCAGGTTGCCAAGAGAAACCGCGTCAGTCTCAAAAGATTGGCAACAACAAAAAAATGCCTAGAATTTTTCATCATAAAGTTATATGAAAATATGAATATAAAAACTCACCAGCAGATATTGGAGAAGACCGGATACTTGTGGAATCTTCAGGTATATCCCTCCGGTAATATCACAGGCCTGGAGAATATAAAGTGTAACCTGGTTCACATTTAAAGGTGACTTCATTCAATTCGCATCAAAAGTTATATAATAAATCTTCATGATTCATAAATGACATAAACACTTACAGGTTTCGGCAGCTGTACAGGGACCCTTCAAGTCTTATACATGTAAACAGGTATTTAAATTAAAATGTATTTGAACGTTACCTATCTGGACTAGTGAGTTCCACAATAACAAGGTCATGGTCAACAGAACACACCATTAAATAAAATCCCATAGAAATCGTTTGGATGTTGAATCACCTAAATAAGGTAAAGTATTGCAAGCAATCCATATTCCTCCACCTCCAAACCTTTGCCATCAGAAATGAATAAAGGGCCATAACTCTGTATCTCATGGGCCACAAGATCCAACTTTAGTATGTAACACTCAATAGGTATTCGCATACAAAACAAGAGATCCCAGAGGGATCTTGGCGCCCATCTTGACTAGTTTGTCTGTTGGCCATCTTAATCAGTCTTTTGATCAACTTCAAAAGTTAACATGCACAACTTAGTACCAAGGGGAACCTTCATGTAAAATTTGAAAAAGATCCCTCCAGCACTTTCTGGAAAATAGCGCTAACAAACTTTAACTCTCAAATGAAAAATGGCTGGCTGTCGGCCATCTTGGTTTTGTCATCGGTCCCAAAAAACGATATGCATAACTAGGGACCATGGGGAACCTTGATGCCAAATTTGAGAAAGATCCCTCCAGTACTTTCTGATAAATAGCGCTAACAATAATTGTTTATGAACGGACAGAAAACCAGACAGAATAATGGACGGAGGGACCATGGACACAGGTTGATTTGAATTGCAATTGTATGTCAAGTATATGAGATACGCCCCGGACGAAGTTATGCACGGACGGACTGATTGACGCATTATAAACATATTGAGTCCCCTCGTGTGGAGGACTTATCGATTATCTTCCAATGATAACTAACCTGCTGTAAAAGTCCGGAGTCATTATCTAGTACACATGCATCCACCACGATGTTCTGTGAACAGAAAGACAAAATATTATACATGGTTATAAGACTCTTTCATGCCCAGGGGTGTAGAAAAGGGAAATTCCACCCAAGGGATTATCAAATTTGGTAAAACCCAAGGCAATCCCTTCCCCCCCCCAGCTTTTTTGACGAAAAACGAATCTCGAATCTGTCAGCGAAACTGAGCATACCTCATATTTTCAAACAATGTTTGCGCAGAAAAATAGATCTCATCTTTCTTACTTGTACGGTAAATATATCGTAAAAGGTTTTAATTTTTTCATCACGTTGCCTTTTCCACATTGCGACAGCGGAGTTTTCCAAATTCATGACGTCACATCATTGTTGAGCCATTGTCACATCAAATGAAATGGGGTGTAAGATAGAAATTTTCTACACCCCTTTCTTACCCTGGACAGCTCTATCTTACACACAAGGAAATGAGAGAAATATATTCAATATTTTAGCCATCAAGGAAATATCATGCAAAATTACAGCAAAGGTATTTTTTTTCAATAAGATATTGTGATTTGAGTCTATTTAATCTCCTTCATACAATACTTACAACATACTTGCCAACTCTCCCCATTTGGAGGGAGACTCTAGATTTTGGACCCTCAAATTGAGCATTTTCAAACAATGAATTTGCTAAACTATTTCTATTTTCTAATATCTAATGATTTCACCTGAAAGTACAACTCAAAAGATACCATTTAAAAGTGATTTTTTGTCCCCTGGGGTGTAATGGACAAATTTATTTTAGGTTTCAATTTTGAACAAAACGTCATGTAATATATATTCCCCATGGAAATTTCAAAAAGTTGGCAGGTATGTTGTGTAAGCAAATTATGCTTTTCATTTCAAGCCAATATAAACACAATGTCAGTGATGGACATTAGAAAAATACATTTTAGAAACAGATCCTTATAAACTTGTACTTTGTAATTTGATAGTCATAGTGGTACGATTTTCCTTCCATGTCTATCAAAACCAACCCTACTAGCTGGCTTGTGATCAAAGGAAAAAGGAAATGATGTCCTATCATCCTTTTCCTTTGGAAAATGTTTTAAATTCCTGATATTTCTTCAAGATTATCTTTTTCAGTACCACCGGTATATAAATCTCAAACATTCCAGTTTTTTGAGAAGCAAAGCATGAAAATCCTCACAGTCATTTAGCATGTCATATCAATATGGGATTTTTTTGTCCCAGGATAGCTAGCTAGTTTATGACTGTTATCTCTATAATAGTGGTAGCTGTAATTAACCTGTTTCTGTGCTGTAAATACAGCATTCATTAGATTCATATACTGTTCTGGGTTGTCTTCTGATCCTTTGATAATCTGTAAAAAAAACACCAGAAAAATTACTTACACAACTTCACGCTAGTTTTCTAAAGCCATCTTTGATACTCAAGGGGTTGTGCTTCACTTTTGCTCTCGGCACCCCTGGAATATGTCATGGCAAAATTGAAGGCAAGGGCCCGGGGGAAGCTATTTGATTGGTCTGGGGTAAAAAATCCTGACCAATCCCTAGGCTGAGACCTGTCCTTTGAAGAATACGAAGGAGTGACACCCGACTTCAAAGCCAGTCAATTTTACCGTTAAGTGACCGCAAGATTCTTTTAATGTACATCAAAGGATCAAACTAGTCTTTTTGTCTCATCCACAAGGTGGCGCACACTTAGTTTTTCGATTTTTCTGACATATTCCAGGGGTGCAGAGAGCGAAAGTGAGTGTAAACCCCGAAATATCATAACCTTAACATCATAATTACATTGTACATTCTTCAAAAATCATGTCACTGTTTTCCTAATAGAAGGTGTTTTGGTCTTTCAACTATTAGAGGCTACAGAAAAATCTCAATATAATGCCCCTCGTTTCAGGTTCAACCTCACTTATCACCAACATTTTACTAAGTCCCTTTTTCCCTTTTTCTTAAGAATGATCTATTTTTCTCAATTAATTCATTACCAAACCCCTAATAACGCCAAACTTTTCTGAACAAATGGTGGCAGTATAACAAGGTTTTACTGTACTTCTGTTGTGACTTTCAACTCGAATTTTGAAATCAGTAAATAGATCCTGATTTTTATATTCCCCCAGATGGAAATGGTAATGATAAATAGCAGCCTGGTTCCTTCTAAAAGAAATAACTGTTCCACCGTTTGGTAAATCATTTTGTTAATAATTTGTTTAATGTTAAACATGAACCAAAAAAGATCAAATAAAGTTTTAGTCTTGACAATGCATATAAGGACTTCAGTGCATAACAGGGTCCACTTGTATGAAACATCTCAACTCTTGAGATTTCCTCAAGTCTAAGATTTCCCATAGACAATACATTGCTTGAGATTTTCCTTAACTTTGAGATGTTTTATTATAAATATATAATATACAAGTGGGCCCAGGTACTGTATTTCGTATAATGAGCACTCAGGACGCTTTAAAAATTGTATTAAAGAGGGATGCTTATTAGGGTAATAAAATGTGAGTTACAAAAGAATGAGCCGAGCGTGGCTGCAGGTTTGGAAGTAAAACGTTTCATCTGCTTCATGGGATGTTAACCTGACGTTATTCTCTAATTTGAAGTGTAAATACTATGAATTTAACGGGCACGTCCTGGTCTGTGGGTGGAAGGGGTCTATTCCGTCTTTGCGTACTGCAGAGTTATCTTCTCTTGTGAGCAGGTTTTGATTGTTACGTCATTGGTTTGTGCGAGAAAATTACGTCGTTTTCTCAAAAATTGATGACGTTACTCTCACAAACAAATGACGTAACAATCAATACCTGCTCACAAGAGCAGATAACTCTGCAATATGCAAAGACGGAATATAATTCAATTCCTCTCGAAAAAAGGGGGAATGATACTAGTTATGCTGAATACAGTATATTGTTTAAACAAGCATTTTCCAAGGTGGACAAGTTCTAATTGTAGGAGTCCCTTTTACAGAAGTTCCCCAATTCATTATTTAGCTTGTTTATTGTGTTACTAAACTTACCAGAACTCTTGAAGAAAGCTGTTCTCCGGGACCAACCTCCTTTTCAGACCTGTGTATGTCTGGATATTGTCAAGGTCATTAATTATAACCACTGAATGTAAAACCTTACCAATACGTTATGTTAATCTTTTCTCTCTTAACCCTTTCACCCCTATGTAACTTTAATCAACTCTACCATGCATTGATCTGGGTAAGTCCATTATGGTCTATAGTGGTGGAAGGGTTAAATGTGCAATCAGCACAGGCCCACAGAAAGATATGCTTCATATTTGTGTTCACAGGAATAAAATCCATTATCAAGCAATATTTCTTGACTCAGTTGACGATGTCTCTTATTTCTACAAAATTACTGTATATTGAAAAAAAAATGAGCATCCTGAAAGTTAGCTTATTTCTTCTCAGGAAGATTTTCCAGGTTGTTTTAGGGTTAATGAAGATAGAGCGTGGTCTGACAGTATGACAAAACATACAGTTGTATGTTACCAGGTTTGATGAAGATGGAGTGTAGCTTAACCCTTTCACCCCTGTATAACTTCAGTAGACTCTACCATGCATTGATCTGAATGAATCCATTATGGTCTACAGTGGTGAAAGGGTTAAATAGTCTAACAGCATGACAAAACATATATTTGTATAATACCAGGTAACTCAATTATCCCCATTTTATCTTTAGTAAAAATCACCCATTCTACAAAACAAGCAGTCTCCTAGATTTAAATTAACGTGAAATATTTGGATGTTGAGAAGACTATTTCATATTCTTCAAGGAATAAGTTACTTGGTTCCTGTTTCTAGAAATGTGCTTCATCGGTTTCTGGAAATATAATCTTTGACACTTGTGTTCTTGGGGAAAATCTATGGATAAAACAGTTTTTCTTGACAAGCGTAACATTTTTTCTTAATACCATTAGTTTGAAATTCTGTGAATGAGTATGTGCACTCTGTAGATATCACTGATCGTTTTTTACATAAAGGATACAACACAGAGCCATGGCTAAAGCTCCGGCCAGTACTGTGTCCGGGTACAGCAAACTTGACCCTCCTGGAAAAATAACATTGTAACATCTAGTAGATGGTAGTATAGGGCTGCAATGATACGCATAAACCTCACGGTACGATACGTATCACGGTATGATGCTTACGATACGATGAGTATCGTGATACACGTATCCGCTCAAAAAGTCAACTTCATGATGTAAGAGTGCAGGATTTTACAGAGTCTTGTCATAGACTAAGTTATTTATGTATAATAAATACTGTCAAAATATCTTTGTATGATTTTTAGTACTTTTTGCACAGAGGGTCACACTTTCACTGAAGAATTTCAAAACAACAAGCAAACTCCTAAAATTTAATTAAAAATGAAAATACCGATGTTTTCAGTACTATTAGTGTATCGCAATACAGGCAAACAAAATAATTTGAAACGATACATATCGAAGTATTGTATTTTGATACGGTACAATATTTCATTACAGCCCTAGTAGATTGTAAATAAATGAGCACTTAAATACAATATATTATTACATTTTATAAAAAAAAACTCCAGGATTTTGTATTTAATCCAAGCATTTAAGTTTTTATTATGACTTTGCTGATAATTGTTTGATCTGAAAACTGTTCCGAGGCATAATACTTCAAAAGACTTCTTGCTATGTCACACTACATAGATGTATACATTGATAGCTTAATCTTAAAACTGCTGCTGAATCATCCAATCAACACTTAACTTCTTAAAACATTTTGAGCCTACTCCTCATCCAATCTCAGACCTTTACAATAACTGTAATCCCCTTATACACCTCAAAACAGATTGAGACATTATAACATTGATGCAGTTCCCATTCATTTAGACATCATACCATTGATGAAGCTCCCATTCAGCCCGTAGACAGATTTAGACATTATACTATTGATGACAAGCTCCCATTCACCCCATAGACAGATTTAGACAAAGAAGGACCAGGGTGGTAAATCATACTATTGATGACAATCTCCCATTCACTCCACAGACAGATTTAGACATTATACCGTTGACAGATTTAGACATTATACCATAGACAGATTTAGACATTATGCTATTGATGAAGCTCCCTTTCACCCCAGAGACAGATTTAGACATTATACCATTGATGACGCTCCCATTCACCCCACAGACAGATTTAGACACAGATTTAGACATTATACTATTGATGACAAGCTCCCATTCACCCCATAGACAGTTTTAGACATTATACTATTGATGACAAGCTCCCATTCTCCCCATAGACAGATTTAGACATTATACTATTGATGAAGCTCCCATTCACCCCATAGACAGATTTAGACATTATACTATTGATGAAGCTCCCTTTCACCCCATAGACAGATTTAGACATTATACCATTGATGAAGCTACCATTCATCCCACAGACAGATTTAGACATTATACCATTGATGACGCTCCCATTCACCCCACAGACAGATTTAGACACAGATTTAGACATTATACTATTGACAGATTTAGACATTATACCATAGACAGATTTAGACATTATACCATTGATGAAGCTCCCATTCACCCCACAGACAGATTTAGACATTATACCATTGATGACGCTCCCATTCACCCCACAGACAGATTTAGACATTATACCATTGATGACGCTCCCATTCACCCCACAGACAGATTTAGACATTATACCATTGATGACGCTCCCATTCACCCCACAGACAGATTTAGACACAGATTTAGACATTATACTATTGACAGATTTAGACATTATACCATAGACAGATTTAGACATTATACCATTGATGAAGCTCCCATTCACCCCACAGACAGATTTAGACATTATACCATTGATGAAGCTCCCATTCACCCCACAGACAGATTTAGACATTATACCATTGATGACGCTCCCATTCACCCCACAGACAGATTTAGACATTATACCATTGATGACGCTCCCATTCACCCCACAGACAGATTTAGACACAGATTTAGACATTATACTATTGACAGATTTAGACATTATACCATAGACAGATTTAGACATTATACCATTGATGAAGCTCCCATTCACCCCACAGACAGATTTAGACATTATACCATTGATGACAAGCTCCCATTCACCCCACAGACAGATTCAGACATTATACCATTGATGACAAGCTCCCATTCACCCCACAGACAGATTTAGACATTATGCCATTGATGAAGCTCCCATTCACCCCACAGACAGATTTAGACATTATACCATTGACGACAAGCCCTGATTTATCCCAGACAGATTTAGACATTATACCATTGATGACAAGTTCCCGGGCTTGGTTCTTGATCTGGTTGTTGACCAATCCAAACAGCTCATACTTTCCATCTCCCTGGTCAGCTTCCTCACTGATATTTATGGCAGATGTTCCACCCTGGTCCTTCTTTGGATACAGAAATATACTAAAAAGTACAATCAAAAACCTTATCAAATATACTGCCACCATATACATCTGTCCAGAGAAATGTTGGTGTTATAAATAGGTTCGGCGATAAAATTGGAAGGAATTGCATATAGGAGTTCTTAAGAACACAGAAAAAAGGACATTGAAATATGTTGGCAATAAAGGAGGTGGTAAATGAAACGATGGCATTATATTGAGGTTTTACTGCAGTAAGCAGACCACTAAATGCGTCATGTTGATAAAAATTGCTGTAGCCATCTTTGTATTTTAAGGGAGTTTGGTTTGGTTTAGTATTGTTTAACGTCCTATCAACAATTATGGTCATTTAAGGACGGCCTCCCCTGTGTGTAAGATGCATGCGTGTAGTGTATGCGTGTGAGTTTTGGGAGGCTGCGATATTTAAGAGAGTGCTTTCAGAAGGAAATATATTACCTATAAATTCAATCAAGTTTTCTTGCAACAAATATTGAATTTGAGTCAAGGAAGCTGTACAGCCAATTGCTGATAGTATAAGGTCCATGTTCTATCTTTGACTGTGAAAACAGTTTTTGAAAATTCTGATATCATTGCATCAAGGTATCCTTGAAATCCCAGAGGTTATGCTCTCTGGCAAACTGAAGGCTCTGTATGTGCTACCTTGTGAAAGACACAAGTAAAACTAATCTGATCCTTTGATGCACATCAAAAGAACCACACTGCAGCATATTTTAAAATTGTCTGGCTTTGATGTCAGATGTTATCATTGTAATTTGCAAAGGACAGGAAATTGGTCAGGTTTTTTTTCTCCATCTGAAACTAATCCAATAGTTAACCGCATGCTTTCAATTTTGTCTTGACATATTTTACAGGTCGAGTGAACAAAATAACGCAACTCCTGAAGTTTTGAAGTCATGTGTTGTCTTCTGTAATCTGCCAAGGACAGAAATCAACCTAACAAACGGTCAGGGTTTTTTCTCCTGGAACTAATCAAATATAGTTAACAGCATGCTTTCAATTTTGTCATGACATATTCCAGGGGGTCAAGTAAATGAAATAGCGTAACTCCTGAAATTTCAGGGACGATTTATCAGTTGACTTCTGTTAACGGCTGTCTGACCTTTTGTCTGTGTGTGCTGCTATCACAGCTAGCTTGTTCCTGTGACTCATCATCAAGTGGGAGTTGGAAAATACCATCAGGCACTCCAGGCATTGTGCCAGACTCATCTGTAAATCACAAACACTTGAAACATTGTAACGAATAGAAACATAATATTTCATAGAACAATGTAACAATATCCGTCCCACCCTTTTTTTGAGATACCTTATCTCAGCAAACTGATTTGATGAAAATCTGTTTGTTTTTGTATCAAATTTTCCTCAAAGACGGTTAACAACGACCGACATTGTCATCAGAATTTCTTTCGCTCCTCAAATGTACTACATCACCAAATCACCAGAATTTTGTTCCGGAAACTTGTAACTTGGACAAAAATGATGTAAAGGAATCCCGGAATCCCTTAGTTGTAGTATTCTGGTTTCAGAAAAGTAATATCTTGTACAATGAATTTTCCCAATCAACCCTATTAGATGATCACGAAACAAAAAGAGATCATTTATAAATATTGAAGAGCAAAAAGGCCTATATCCTGGCTATCAGATACATTTTTTGTAATTTAATCAAAAATTTTTTTTACCTGGTTCTGTCCAGATTCACCTGTGTCCGCCTGTCCCCACCACACAGGGTTGGTGTCCACGATAATAATCAGCTGACTGCTTACACTGCTTTCTGATACCAGCAACAAACAGGGGGAAAAAATAACAATTTCAATTAGTTCAGTTACAATTGTCAATTGATAGACAACAAACAACAGTTAGACTGGTTCCCGATTCAAATCCCAATTGGCCGTGCGTTTTCCAGTTGCTATTATTACTGCAATAGGAGCGTAAAAATGCATGGCCAGAAGGGGGTTCGAACCTGGGACCAACCAAACTCTACACGGACACTATATCAATCGAGCTACCTGGACCGCTTTCGTTTATTGCGATCCAAACTGTTGAACCGGTTGGACCACAGTTGTTCGTTTATGAAATAAGGTTGGACCTAGTAATCTGATGCCGTTTTCAGACGAGACTTGATAAAGCATAGCAAGGCATGCATAAACATTTGCAGGCCCGCCAGTATTATACCCGAAAATGATACATTTCAAAACAGATTAACCGTTTGTTCCACATAAACGAATAGGCACCTGGTCGTTGACGACTGACCTAGTCCATTTCCGCTACATAACATTATACAGGTACTGGAGCACTGGCCAATCTGGCTACATAGCTAGTAGATTTGGCTATATAGTCAAATATGACTATACGTATACAGGGTGAATGTAAACAAACACGCCAGTACTTGTCCTTATTATCTCATGCACCTTGATTGAAGTGTTGACCAAAACAGGTTAGGCGGTGAAATGAAAGATTTTCATATAAAAACTCAATTTCTGGTGACTTTGTTGAAGATCACCATTGTAATTCTTGGTACTTGCATCCTCTTATCCTTTCCCTCTGATGGACAGACAGGATGATTCATGATTTCTATATCAAAACATAAAATATTTAACTCCCTCCCGACACATGGACAACTTTCAGTGCATGTTATCGTTCTTTTCTGAATGCACACGTTACCTGGGGTCGAATCTACATCATTGGGATGCTTATCTTCGGTAACAGGAAGTAGATGTCATATTGAATAGACACACTATGGTTTGTTACTAATAAGTGAATCTTATGCTTGTTGACAGGACAAAACAGGGAAAAAACACAACAATGGAATTCAAACAAATGAATGAAAACTTTGTTTTTATATGAAAATATTTCATTACACAGACGCACATGTTTGGTCAACACTTAAACCGATGTGCATAAGTTTATTACCACCAGTACTGATGTGTTTGTTCATAGGAGGGCAGCGGGGACTTCTAGAAGGACATTAATCTGTAGCCACAGTCACTGCGACAGCCTGTCCGCATCTGAGAAGCTGTCCGACCGCAGAGCGTACACGACCTGGATGGGCAGGACTTTTGAATCACAGAGGGCCCGGTAAGCACCAATTTACCCCCTCGAGTGGACAGAACACCAGATTATTACATTGTGACATTGTTACATTTACACCATGATCAAACTGACTCGACCAGTATGTATTATTTTGAGGAAAATTTATGAGAACACAACTAATTTCCCACACTGACACAGGCTAGGATGGAATCAGCCTTGATATCCAGGGGTTACGTTCACTTTCGCTCTCTAGATCTGCACCACTGGAATATGTCATAGCAAAATTGAAGGCTCAGTGTGAACAACCTTGTCGATGTGACTAGAAGACTAGTTTGATCCTTTGATGTAGATCAAAAGAATCGTAACAGTAAAAATTGACTGACTTTGAAGTCGGGTTTCGCCCCTTTGTAATCTTCAAAGGACTGATATCAGACCAGCAACTGGTTAGTTGTTTTTTTTATCTGAGACAAATCAAACAGCAGGGGCCTGTTAGTTTAATTTTATGCGGAACAACCGGCTTGTCCGTTTATAAATGTAACAATTTCGGGTATAAATCCTGGCAGACCTGCAAATGTCTATGCAGGCATTGCAAGGCTTTGTCAAGGCTCACCTGAAGCAGCGGATGACCAGGTCCGACCTTCTTCATTAAACGAACAACTGTGGTCCGACCGGTTTGACCGTTTAAACGAATCGGCCCAGGTCTTTGTGTCTTCAATTTTGCTATGACATATCCCAGGGTGTGTAGAGAGCGATCATGAGCGCAACCCCTGGATATTGAGGATGGGATGAAATATGCCACCACGGACTTACATAATCTAATTCCGTGATGATACCTTTGAAAGGAAAATGATTACAATAAGCATATAAAAATGCAAACGATGCTTATTTCGAGAAAAAGAGAGAAGTATGACATCAGGTAGGCCCCTATTTATGATCATGCAATGTTCCTATTATGCTATTTTTGAAAAAATATGATGAGACACTTGCAAACTTCCCTGTACCTAACGGATTCTTACCCGTCATTTTCTTATATGTCTGCACTAAACGACAATATATTCACGTAACAGATTCCAGGTATCATGCCGGTTTGTTGACTTCGGCCATCTTTATTGACAGACCGAACAATATTTAGTAGGCGGGCGTTGATTGGTTGAAAGCAAGCTTAAGTACAACCTACAATCGGAAATCGCCGACATTTTCCGTAGGGTNGGGGTGCCGACAGTTCTTGAAAAAAGAAAAAAGTACGATTCTCAAAAAAAGTTGATATAATTTTTTTAACGAATGAAGAAAAAAAAATGTAAACTTGTTGGAAATGTATGCTGCCAACGCTGAAAATAAAGTTATGAAAATGAAGTTATAATTTACAGAGGAATGAAAGTTTTCAAGAGGAATGAATCTGGATGTTCCCAGTGTTCATGCAAGTATATGAACGGGGGGAAATTTACTTACACACCGCATGAGCGGTCGTAGCGAAGCAGAGACGTATTTACTCCATACTGGCTTTATATATCTCAGCCTCGGGCTAAGATTATGTAACATCCCAACCTCGGCTTACGCCTCGGTTGGGATGTTATTTTATTGCAGAATCTTAACCCTCGACTGAGATAATCCGATCTCGCTCATAGATTTAATTAGTGTCTGATCATGAGCGAAGCGAAGGCCGTTCATGTGAAGTGTAAGTTTTCTGCAAAATTCCAGATTCAATCCTTATAATTCCAAATCACTATCAATGGGAAGGAAAACAAACACATCATTTAAATTACGAATTTTTTTCTTCCCTTCATAGTTTATTTTTTAACCCCCCATATGCGTCATATTTGCTGTCATATTTATAAGCACAGGTGAATTTCAAGACATACCTGACAGACATACACGTTCTACACTTAGACGAGAACAAATCTTGTCATACCATCTATGTTCCCAGATATACTGTAAAACAGGATTTTTTAGCGTGTGGAAATAATCGCGTCTAGACTCTTTAAACAGATCTCGATGTGGAAATTTTCGCGTCGACAATGATTTAGAAATGTATATATCCTTTCTATCTATAATCTATTAATATATATATTCGCATGTGGACATCTTCGCACTAATTTACTCAACGCGAAAAAACACGAACATTTCCACATCGCGAAAAATTCAACTTTCACAGTGAATGAACCGTAAAATCGCTTTTAGCTCACCAGGCCCGAAGGGCGAAGCGAGCTTATGTCGTGGTGCTTCGTCCGAATAAACAGCTTCTTATCAATAACCAACCGGCCTAGGTGATGATGTTTGACCAGTACCTTCTGGGATCAAGTGAATGACTTTGACCCAAGGACACAGGGGTCAAATATGTAACCAAAAGATCCAGCGTGACTATATCTGACCAGTATGCTGGGATGATGCGCTACCAAGTTTGTTTAAATAAATGATATTGTACAGACAGCCACGCAACAGAACTGGGGTTAAAATACGTTAAAAATTATAAAAACAACATATTTTCAATAACCGAAAGTCCAATGTAATGAAATCCGGCCAGTACCATGCTGGGATAAAGTCCTGTCTAACTTGTTCAAACGAATGACCTTGAGACACTTTCAAATTCACGGAGGTCAAATCTGTTAAAAGTTTTGGACGATCGACTTCTTCTCAATAGAACCAAATGTCTCATGGTCTGCACTGTGTGAGTCAAACGACGCAATGAATCCCTGAAATGATCTTAAACAGCTCTAGATGTTGAAAAATATGGAATAAACCTAAGGTACCGAGCGCATTTCGCGGAACCTCCGCGTTTTTTTTTATATTTATGTAACAGGAGAGGAAAAAAGATACGGATAGACCGGAATTCAAACCAGGCCCATCTTAATTATAAACGGACGCTGGCGATCAATTCAGTCTAGTTCAATCCATATTGCCATGTTCCATATAGGTGTTCTGAGTGCGACCGATAGGAACTCCCCTTATAGAAGGACTTAATTTACCATTTTTGTTAAAAACAAAATCGCTCTATAAACTCGTGTTTGAGTTTGTAATTTCCAGAATATTAAGTAGGTTCTTTCGACAAGATATTGATATTTTGGAATTTTGGATTAGTTGATACTAAATTATGATATTTACAAAATGGACCCTGGAATCTTCTGTATATCTGTATCCATTATCACAGCGTTACACTCTGGATTAAAGTACTCCACACAACACTGGTTTAAACTCATTTTGAATTCACATAATCTATTTGGTTCCCAATAAAGATAAAACGATCATAAACTTGAAGTATAAAGGAAGGCAACTTCAGCTTGACTATATACCATGGAAAGCCTGGTACGGAATGCCAAGTGCCAAATGCGCAATGCTTATTTTCATATGCCAAATTCTTAATGCTAATTGCTCAATGGGTAATGCACAATTATAATGCCCAATCTAGTACGTCAAATTCTGATTTTGAATTTTATTTCGAATTTTATTTTGAATGCCAAGAGAGATACACTTAGAAGGCATTACATTATTATCCTAAGCTGTTTCTTTAAAAAAAATTATAATAAGTAATATAATAAGTAATTCAGCTAGTCCAATTCTCCATTTTCTTTAAACATTAGGATTTCAATGCGAAAAGCTAATTGTCAAATGCTAAATGCGTTTAATGCCAATTGCGCAATACCTATTGCGAAATACATAATGCCGATTGCAACAGCTGAAATCCTCATTTCAAAGAAAGGAGAAAAGGGGTTAGTTGAACTACCATTTTTTCACGAAACAGTCAAATGAAAATAACCTACATTATAGTATATAAGTTGCGTATCTGTCTGTTAAACCTTTGTATGTCTGACTTACAGTTTTTAAATATGGAAGACCAGTGTGCAATAAGAAATGTAGAATATAAAATACGTATTATCATATTCCAAATGCAGATTGCCAATGCCTAATGTAAAAAATTTAAGCTAATAGGTCAAATTAGGATTGTAATCGCCAAGCGAGGAATATGCATTGACTAGAAGCAATTAATTATTTTCCTTCGGCTGTTTCATGAAAAAAAAATGTTTGAAATGAGGACTTCAATAACTGGCCTCGGTTTCCAAGTTAAGGAAGCTTCATGAAACGCGATTTTATTTCAGTTAAGGAATTTCCTTAAATTTAAGGGAAAATCTGGTTTAAGGAGCTCCTTAAAGTTAGGAAAGTTGATGAAACCGGGGTCAGACACACAATATACGTACTGACATACACGCAGCAGACATACAGATAATAACTGACAAGCAGACAGCCATACAGATAATAACCGACAAGCAGACAGCCATACAGATAATAACTGACAATCAGACAGTCATACAGATAATAACTGACAATCAGACAACCATACAAATAATAACTGACAATCAGACAGCCATACAGATAATAACTGACAAGCAGACAGCCATACAGATAATACCTGACAAGCAGCCAGCCATACAGATAATAACTGACAATCAGACAACCATACAAATAATAACTGACAATCAGACAGCCATACAGATAATAACTGACAAGCAGACAGCCATACAGATAATACCTGACAAGCAGCCAGCCATACAGATAATAACTGACAATCAGACAGACAACCATACAGATAATAACTGACAATCAGACAGCCATACAAATAATAACTGACAATCAGACAGATAGACATACAGATAATAACTGACAATCAGACAACCATACAAATAATAACTGACAATCAGACAGCCATACAGATAATAACTGACAATCAGACAGCCATACAGATAATAACTGACAATCAGACAGACATATAGATAATAAATGGCAAGCAGACAGATACATACCAACTGACTTACAAACAGATACGTAACAGACGTACAGACAGATACACACCAACTGACGTACAGACAGATACACAACAACTGACGTACAGGCAGATACACAACAACTGACGTACAGACAGATACACAACAACTGACGTACAGACAAATACACACCAAATGACGTACAGGCAGATACACAACAACTTACGGACAGACAGATACACACCAACTGACTTAAAGACAGATACACAACAACTGACGCACAGACAGATACGTAATAGACGAACAGACAGATACACAACAACGGACGTACAGACGGATACACAACAACTGACGTACAGACAGATACACACCGGACGTACAGAAAGATACATAAAAACAACTGACGTACAGACAGATACACAACAACGGACATACAGACACATACATAACAACAGCAGAAAGACAAACAGACAGACGTACAGACAGATACGTGACAGATATGTGACTGACGTACGGACAGATACGTGACATATATACATATTCACAATTAAAGTACAGACCGTCACTAAACAGACGTACAGGCAGCCATTCAACAGAACTGAAATATTCAGATGTAGTACAGTTTCACTCTAAGACAACAAGATATGTAAATGACAGGGTTGTGATCGCATAATCTGAGTTTAGTGTATGTATCTCATGTATTTTTAAAGATACTAATACTGACAGTCAGCTTTTTACTAGTTATGCCAGGCGCGGATCGTTGGAGTGGCGGAGGGGAAGCGACAGTGGGGGTTGGGTTGAGAACGGGGCTAAACCGCCAGAAATTGACGTATCTGTGCTACATACCGATGGCTATAACTGACCTTACGCATTATTTCTCGGAAATATGAACAGCGGCAGAGGGAGCAACATTTATTTAGGAAATGTTTATGTACTCCCATCTGGGGGTCAGAGGACCTTCCCCCTTGTGTATGTTAGGGTTCAGTTCAGCTTCATATTTGATGAGATTTTAGGTCATTTCAATATTATTTTTGATTCGCATAAAAATATCATGGAAAGATGGTAGACATAAATTAATTTCAAGTATCATCGGATATTTAAAAGTATACTAACCGACCGTAACATTTTTTTTTCAATCCACAACATCTTTGGCTGATTTTCAAACCAAGTTTGCAACGAAAGTTTTCTATCCCGTCTTTTCGCAGTAATGTATATCATTGTAAATGTGAATTGATATATAGATAGAGGGCGTAGTTTATACAGCCTCGGTTAGTTTCTCGTACGATAATACGGCCTCTAAAATCGATTTTATTTAAATGATGACCATTATTTTTTTTATTAATTTTAACATACGAGCGGAGCGAGGCGGATAACGTTATTCTGGTGTTGAGTAACT